GGAAGACGACAGCCGGCCTTCCTCGGAGAGTGCGGCTGAGGACACTGCTGAAGAGCTGGCACCAGCAGAGGCGGTGAAGCCGGGTGAGGACAAGGTGAGCACGCCAGAGCTGACGTGAAGCCTTGTGCTCTTAGCTTGTCCATCTCTGCCTGCCGTGCCTGCCCCTGGCAAAATACTACCCGCTCCCAGCGGGCATCGGGGTGGCCATGGCATCTTCCTCTTCACATCCGTTTCCACTGTTTTCCTTTATGACAACCTCCATTTTCCCAGAGCTCTGGATTCAGGTGGTTTGGCTGGTTTCGGTCAAAGCCCACCAAGGAAACCTCTGCCAAAGCCATGTCTGAGACAGCCCCGGACTCCCCCACGCCGGGACCGCAGGTAGGGGACACAAGGCTGTCCTGTCCCCGGGTGACACCCAGGGTACAGCTATGAGGATGGGTGACCTGTCTCCCCCATCATCCACTATTTCTGCCTCTGTTCGCATGCCAGCGGCTGTGCCATTGCACTGCGCTTCATGTCTGTAGCCACTCTGTGCAGGGACAGAGCGGGACCAGGAGCCCTTTTAGCCTGGAATTGAATCCTTGATTAATAATAATTGTAAATTTATGAAGCCTCTTTGATCTGGGATGTTCTCTGAGAGCTCAGCAAACTCTGAGGGGATCACTCGCCCTCCACCAGAGCGGAAAGCAGCAGCTGCAAGCGGCACCGCTCCAGCAGGTTTTAGGAGCTGAAGGGAAGGAAAACATATTTAATTGGAAGAGCAGCTGAGACAGGGAAGCAGCGGGGAGAGGGAAGCAGCCATGCGTTGTTACCCCAGTCCTGGCTGAGTCCTCGGGGTGTCACATCCCCAACCGCAGCTGGATGGTGGGCTTGGAGGCAGATGTTGGAGCGAGATCCTCTCCTGGAAGTTTTCTCCTGGTTGAGAATGACCCTACAGTGCCTGGAGCAGGAAATGTTGGGATATGCTTCCAAAACTAGCAGGAGATGAGGAACAGAGGGTGACGCGTGGACCCTGGATGGCCACTTATACTGTACACAGGCTTGGTGTCCAGCCTCCCGCCTAAATTTAAGCTCTCTGGGCAGTTTAGCTTTGTGTCGGGGTTGCTTCCCCTGACCCTGTAGCCCCTCCATAGCTCGGTTGCCTGCAGCTCTTGGGGTACCTCTCCAGCAGGATGGGTGCAGAGAGGTACCCCCGAAATGCGGTGTAGTATCTGGTGCGGAGGTCTGCTCTCCACGCAAGGAGCTTCTGCCCTAAAGGGGGTGGATGTGGTTTCAGGAACAGACCTCGCCATCCCCACCCGACGCCCCTCTCACAGCTGAGACAGGCCCTTCGGCTCAGCCTCCCTCCAGAAACCACGGTAAATGCCGTGCGGGTCCCCTCGCCCCTTTCCCTGTCAGCCTCTTAGAAGATGCTCCTCTGAATTTTAAGGTTTATTTTGGTTGCAGGAGGAATGCAAGGTGAAAATACCTTTGCTGTTACTGCAGTGTCCGTTGGGATGAAAGGCTCGTGGGACATGGATGGTGGGGAGGCAGCGGGAGAGCAGGTGAGGAGAGGAGGGAGGTGTGATGGGGTGTCCAGGGCACCTCTCTGCTCGGGGTGGCTCTGAAATTGGGGGGGTGGCTGTTAAGTTTTTCTCCCTTCACCCCTTCCAGACCGGTTCCCATGGATCTCCCCCACCAGTGGGCACAGTCCCGCTCTTCAACCCTGTGCAGGTGTCTCAGGTGAGAGCATCTTCCTGGCGTGTGGCTGGGTAGGGCTGGGGGGGGCTCTTGGCTTTGGGGGTGATGCCAGACTGCCCGCGATCTGCTAGGGGCAGGGGGACACAGGGGATACCAGCCCTGGGTATAAAGGTTTGGTGTTCATAAGAAAATTAACTGGGGGAGGATAGTGGTGGGGGGGGTGTGATGGAGAGGGAAATGGGGCAGGGGGTGCTTGTGGCTGCATCTTGAGCACAGCAGGTCTGC